TTCTGAGCTCCTCCTCCAATGAGAACAGCTGAGTTCATCAGGAAAGCCAGCATGACAAGGTCCTCCAGCACAATAGCCCAAGAGAAGCAGTAGCTTCTTATTGCTTCCAATAGCGTCCAACAGCTTCTCCTCTTCTTCTCCAGTTCTGCCTCTTATGCTACCTGCAACAGTCCACAGGCGGGCCTCCCACACCCAGCACCATGCTGGTGCAGTTCAGCTGGGTGTTACAAGTTGACCACCAGTTGTCAATCCACTACCTACACCACATGCACAGAGCCAAGGATAAAAACCATATGATCATCTCAATAGGTGATCAAAGAATGAATAGAAAAAGAATTTGACAAAGTCAACACCCACTCATGATTTATAACCCTACAGAAATTGGGATAGGTAGTCTTTATCTCAATCTGATGAAAGGTATCTATGATAAACCAATAGCCAACATAATACTAAGTGGACAAAAACTGAAAGCTTTTACTCTAAAATCAGGAACAAGACAGGATGTCACTACCACCATTCTTATTCATCATAGTTCTAGAAACATCAGTCGGAGCAATTAGACAAGGGAAATAAGGATAAGAAAGGAAGAAGTTAAATTATCATTATTTTCAGATGACATAGAAGACCCACAAAACTACATCAAAAGACGTCTAGAATTAATAACCAAATTCAGTAGCATAGCTGGACACAAAGTCAATACTCAAAGATCAATAGCATTCCTGTACACAAATAACAAACACACAGACAGAGAAATTAGAGAAACAACACCTTTCACAGTAGCGCTGAAAAAAATGAAATACTTAGGAATCAATCTAACAAAGGAAGTGTAAAGATCTTTACATTGAAAACTACAGTACTCTGAAACAGGAGATGAAAGAGAATATCAGAAAATGGAAAGATATTACTTGCTCTTGGGTAGGAAGAACCAGCATAATGAAAATGGTCATACTTCTAAAAGTGTCATACAGATTTAATACAATCCTAATCAAAATACCATTAGCATATCTCACATAACTAGAGAAAACAATCCTAAAGCTCGCTTGGAACCAAAAGGGACCTAAAACAGCAGAAGCAATTCTGGGCAACATAACCAAGGCAGAGGGCATCAAAGTCCCTGACTTGAAATTATACTACAGAGCTACTGTGATAAAAACAGCACGATGTTGCTGAAAAAACCAAAAACAAAACAAAGCAAAAAAAAAAAAAACAAAAAAAACCCCAAACCACCAGACTTGAGGATCAATGGAACAGATTAGAAATGCAGACACAACTCCAAACACAACCAGGCACCTTATCTTTGACAAAGGGGCCAAACACCTTCATTGGAAGAAAGAAAGCCTTTTTAATAAGTGGTGCTGGAAAAACTAGTATTCCAAATGCTGAAGATTAAAATTAGACCCATATCTTTCACCATACACTAAACTAAAATTGAAATAGATCAAAGATTTAAATATTGACAGAAAAACTAACTCTTTTGGAAGAGAGAATAGGTAAAACTCTTGAAGACACTGGTGTAGGCATAGACTTTATGAACAAAACTCCAATCACATAGGAAATATCACAAAGAATCAACAACTGGGATCTAATCTTATTAACAAGCTTTTGCACAGCAAACAAAACCACCAACACAGTGAAGAGGCAACCCACAGAATGGGAAGAATTTTACCAGCTGTTCCTCAGACAAAGGACTAATATCTAGAATATATAAAGAACTAAAAACTAAATATATAAGAACTAAAAAAAAACAAATTCTCACAAATTTAAAGATCCAGTTCAAAAATGGCATCTGAAATGAATAGACACTTCTCAGATGAATAAGTAGAAATGGAAATAAATATATGAAAAAAATGTTCAACATCACCAATTATTTGAGGGATGCAAATTAAAACAACGTTAAGGTTTTCATCTCACTCCAGAAAAAAAAGGCTATTATCAGGAAATCAAGCAAGAACAAATGCTGAAGAGGCTGTGGGGAAAAAGGAACCCTTCTCCACTGTTGGTGGGAGTGTAGACTGGTGCAAGCACTGTGGAAATCAGTATGGAGATTCCTCAAAAAACTAAAACTAGAGATTCCTTTTGACCTAGCTATTTCCTTTCTTGGTATCTTCCTGAAATTTTTAGAAGTGTTATACCACAGCAATATATGTACATCCATGCTTATAGCAGCAGTTTGTAATAGCTAAATCTTGGAAACAACTCAGATGCCCATCAACTGATGAATGGATAAAGAAGATGTGGGTTTTTTTTTTTTTATACAATGGAGTACTATTCTGCCAAAAAAAACGATACACTTGAGACATTTCTAGATAAATGGATACACCTTGGAACCACACTCTTAAGTGAAATAAATTAGACACACATGTTTAGATAGAGCATGTTTCTCTGATGTGAGAAAGAGAAAGCATGCATAAATACCAAAATATGTAATAGATATTGGGAAATAGGAAAAAAATCTTCAAATAGGAAGGAAACAAGAGGAGGGAGGAAGGAAGGGATAGAAAAAAAGAGAATAGAAGGACAATTGGAAACAAAGCTTTTGTAAATAAGGAGGGGAAGAGAGGCTGAAAGGAGAGCAGGAGACTGTGGGAAAAAAAGAATTGAGATCTATCATGTGCGGTACAAATTCCCTGTGATGAATGGATCATTTTGTATATCTAAAATGCACCAATAAAATTAATTTTAAAAACTCATAGTCTTGTACATCAGAAAAAAAGAAAACATTTGTTTCTCTAGTGACACAGCTTTCAGATCGACGGAATCAGTGTAACCTCCATCCCAGCTCTGCGGGTACCTACCCTCGAAGAAAAGTCTGACCTCCTTAGATGCATTCAAACCAAAACCCACAGCGATTATCAACACATAAAAGTGCACACGAGAGGCACTGAGACAAATCTGCAGATTTATGGCTTTGGGGAAAGATACTAGAAAACCACATGGACATGTGAATTAGTTCTGCCCTGAGTACTGCAACAGTAAGCCTTGCCTTTCATCCTGTTTCACTGGTCCATGCTCACCTCCTCTCTCAGGCCCCCAATTCTGCTGGATCTACAGATCTTCGAGGCACATCTCTAATGCCTTCTCCAAGGAGGCATCCTGAGGCATGGCTGACCGTCATCGCCCTTCCCTATTGGAACTAGAGCCTATCTCCCCGCCCTTGCACCTGCCAACATCTGTGCTGCACCTCTATCACCTGGCAACTTGCAGTATCTGTTCTTCTTGTTAGGTTCTTGAGAGCAGGAACATCTTCCTCTAGGCATCTCTGAAGCCCACATAAATGCCTTTTGCTGGGACACAATAAATAGCAAATGAGCATATGATAACGGCTACAAACCAGGCAGACCCTAAAAGGCTTTACATAGACCTCCGCATTTGATGCCACAACAGCCCTGTGATGAGGGAACCTGACTCAAAGTCTTTAAGTACCGTGCCCAAGGTCATGCCATTTGTGAGGAGTAAGGCTGGAGCATGAGCCCCAGTCGCAGGACCCCGCATGTGCACTGCTAAGCCCTCGGCCAGTCTGGTTCCCCAGCTCTATGTGCAGCAAGCAGAAGGAGACAGAACCTTGGAGTCTTCAAGTCAAAGACCTCAGTCGTTTTTCCATCCGATCTTCACAATGAGCCTGTGAGGTGGCCAGGGAAGCTTTCGCCATTTTAAAGATGAGGAAATTGAGCCCTTAGGGGGATCTTGGTAGAAAATAACTGGTGACAGCAAAACCAGAATTGATGTCTTTGATTTCTTTTCCTGTGTTCTTTCCCTTACACCCCACATCATCATCACAAGAATCTGGCCATGCAAACCAAGGCAACAGCCCCAGGCAGCCTCGTAAAATCACTTACTTAAAATATATCACTATACCCTTAATTAAACCACACAAAATTAAAGACACAAAAGGAAAAGACCTGCCATTTCATTAAATTTTTGTAGTAAAAATTATTTTAAAATGCTGATAGAAAAAGACATGTCTTTCCACCAAAGTTATCAAATTTGATTTGACAGTAATAGGAGTATAGTCATAATCTTTGAGAATTTCTCGAAGGTAAGTAAATGAACAAATATTGTGGTTTTCATAAGAAACCCTTTCATAGAAACCTAGAACTGTAATAGTCATAATGCTTCTATAAATAGTGCATAAATACACATTTAAAGAGTGCAGAGTGGTTAAATTTTGATAACAATATTCTAGGTCCTTGTAAAGCATCACTTATTTTACTATATAACACGATGTTTAGCACCTCAGAATTACCTTTAAGAATGAAAAAATATGTTTTCTACTGTACATTTTGTTTACTATTTTTCTTTTCTTGTAAAGACTTGGTCTATTTGGTGAACACACATCTTTGATTATAATAGTCACTATGCCCCGGAATGGAGAGAGAGACTGAGAGAACTTCAGCAAAGAAGAGAAAAAATGTTAAAGCATGCTTCTGAGTTGATAAATAACGTGTGCAAAGAAATATAGTCAAGTGTATAAAAGAACTAGAGAAGGACAGTAACTGTCCCCTATCTCCAAGTCAGAGACTAGTGACTCCAACTGGACCAGAAGAATTGCAGGGCGTATTTCTGGACAGCTACTCACTGCTGAAATGGATTAGATGCGGGAGTGATGAAAACCATCTTTAAAAGTCTTAACAAGAAAACAAAGGTAAGCAAAGGTAGAAGGACAAAGGGAACGGAGCGTGATGAAAAGAAGGAAGAAGGGGAGGGAGGGAGGTTAGAAACAATGACATTGTTCAGAATAAACCTAAACACACCGCAAACAGAAGGCTAGAGCACACGTGGAGGGGAGAGGGAGGGGGAAAGGGCGGAAAGGAAGGGAGGAGGGAAACCGAGCAAGGAGGTGACAAACACTAAAGCAGTTGTCAGTTCAGTGATCATCAGCGTAACCCCAACACATGCGCCGCCGTCGTACATAGCATGAACCTCAGGAGGCGCCTTCCAGCCCTCTGGCACTTCACCCGTCAGACTCCAGATTCTCGCTCTGGAGCCTGCTGCATACACACCTTCGACCGAGAGGAAAGCGTATCCAGCCAGGTCGCTGTTCTGGAGGCTGCATCTTACAAGCCCCGAATCACTGGGCTGCACGTTGTGGATGATCATCTCGGAGACGAAGTTCCCGTCCAGGTCATAACTGGCAGAGGTGAAGCGGTCGTTGGTGATGATGGGCTCCCGCGGGGTGACGCTCAGGACCACCGTGCCTTTGAGGGCCCACATGATGAGCTTCCAGCCTGGGGACACAGTGCAGTTGAAGCGAGCCTCTGAGCCCCTCAGCACTGTTGCATTCTGGGGCCCTTCTAGGATTTGATAGCTGGATCCAGATGCTGGAAGGAAACCGGGTTTTCAAAGGGTGAGTGTTAATCTACATACATCCACTATGTAGTTCATCTCTATTTACCTGTTGTTACCACCTGGGTGTCCTCGGCATAGCTCGGACTCCACGTCTTACTGGTCTTAATACAGGGCTCCTCCAGGAGTCCAGGAGCTGCCAGTGGACATCAAGCCATGGCCCTACCCTCCTTTTCACTCTCCTCCCTTAGCTGGGGTGTGCTGGTTGAATAGTGTTTCCCATCAGTTTACATCCACCAGATCTTCAGGAGGTGACCTTTGGAAGTAGAGTTCTTGTAGACGTAACTAGTTAAAGATATCAAAATGAAATCAACCTGGACTTAGGATGGGCCCAGAATCCAATTCTAGTGAGAGACCTGCAATACAGAAGTGCCCCGAGGGGAGCACCATGTGGGGGTGAAGGCAGAGAGTGGACAGACATGTCTACAAGCCGAGGATGGCCGGGATTGTGAGCAAGCACCGGAAGCTGAGAAAGGCATGAACAGATTCTGCCCTGGAGCCTCCAGAACGAGCCAGCCTTGCCCACCAGTGATGTCACAGAAATGGTGGGAACTGGGACCCAAGCTCAGGCGTTTCCACTCAGAATTCCATGCTCTTTACCCCTTGGGGTCTTTCAGAAGACAAATCACAGAATACTGCAGACCTAGGTTTCCTCTCAGCCGTGCCTTCCTCCTTATCCAGGCATTCTGGTTTTGGTTTTTTTTTTTTTTGGTTTTGGTTTTTCTCCGGTACCAGGAACCGAACTCACGACCTTGCGCTTGCCAGGTAGGCGCTTTTGCCGCTGAGCTAAATCCCCAGCCCCTATCCAGGCATTCTTATTACCTGTGGATTGTGTGTGGTCCCTGTGGGGCAACCAGGCAGCCCACCATGTGCACTGGGGGCTTCAAATAAGGGCAGCTCCCCTCTTTCCTTCCATCCTTGGACAATCAGAGTAGTGCGGCTCTAAAGCAATGTCATTGCCTAGGTCCCCGTGGAAAGGCTGGGTGGAAAACGCTCAACAACGGGAGCTCATCTCTGCTCCCAGAATGCACTGTGACCTGGAACTGCCTCCCACAGGACCCAAGCGCAGGGTCACATGCACATGGGACCGCCACGTGCCCAGGACAGGGCCCAGTGCAAGCAGAACTGCAGCGAGGGGGCCAAGGGGGCTGCTGGCCCAGAAGAGGGAGCGCTAAGGAAAGGGCCAAACGCACTGAGCCGACCCACTGTCTGAGTAAACATGATCACGTTAGTCTTTGTTTTGTCCCAGGGTGTGACAGAAAAAGAAAGTGTGACTCTTAAAACCACAACTTAGGTGGGATGCTAACCCTGGCTGGCGGGCATCTCTCTAACCCAGGATCCCTCTGATCCTCAAGTGAAGAAACAAAAGCCTCCAGAGGGAAGGTCCAGATGACACATCAAGGGCCCACAGACACTGTCCAGGTGGCCCCTTCTGTGAGTCTGAATCATAGTTTAAGAAGAAAGAGAAAAGAAAAGACAGAGATCTACACCCGAGGAAAGAAAGGCAAGCCAAGCCCTTATCCCCCACACCGGGGCCTGGTGGGGGAAGGCAAGGGCACAGTGCCCGGCCAGGCTGGGGGAAGGAGGGTGGGGCAGCTGAGGCCCAGGTCTGCCCCTGAGGAGCCCACCCTGGGCAACTCCATGAGAATGAGAAACCCTTCTGGAGCCAGACTTCTCCCACGGCCCTGCGTGAAGTGCTGCAATCATCTCACTCTAAAGCCAGCCTTGAAGCATCTCCACCTTCACGTGCAGCTGAGGAACCACAGAACACGTGCAGGCCGCAGGCCTCACTCTGCAGCTGGGCAGCTGGGAGGAAACTCCCGGCGTCTGACTCAAACTTCAAGGTAAACGAAGGAGCCAAATTCCCCCGACACTGTTACCGGCAGCCCATGCTCAAACCCCAGTGGCCACCCTCTGGCTCTGCCCTGTGACCTGGGGACTGCTTTTCTGGCCATTCAAGGTCTTGGTATCTCCTTTCTTTATTGTGCATGTCTTATCGGTGGCCATGTGTGACCCTGCCCTACACAGAACAAACATGAGAATACTGTAGATAAGAATTATAATCAGTCACATACCTCACTTGCGACCTCCCTTCCCCTTTGCCTTTCCTTTGATTTGTGGAGCAAAGGGACAAATGGGTGGCAGAGCACGGGAGGCATCCGTGTCCCCGCCCTGGAGTGTCTGCGTGGCCCCAACTGCGCTGTCTACAAGATTCCTTGCAGGGGTTTATCCATTCACAAGATTCTCGTTCCCGCCAATGCTCTCCACATCTCAATCCACGTCCACAGCCCAGCCCTCTTGCCCTCTTCTCCTGCCCCGCCGGGCATCGCTGAGGAAATGACGGGTGGCCACCCGAGATGGAGAGGATCCCTTCTCTGAATCCCAGCAACCTCTAACTTACATCAGTCCCAGGGCAGCACACTTGCCAGGACTCCCGTCGGTCCTGCAGAAATCGATCTAAACACAGCGTTCCTCTGCGATGGCCTCTTCACAGCTCCCCGGGGCGGCCATCAGGCATCTCCCCAGCACTGGTTTGAGGGTCTACGCTGAAACCCTCTGTCTTCCCACTTCCCTCTCCCCACTCCCTGGCCACGCCTGCAGACCCTCAACACTCATCTTGTCCATAACACTGCCGTGAATGGAAAAGCAGGGTTGGAGATGTGGATTCACCGTCAGGAAGAAGCCAGGGAAAGAAAGTGGTGGGCAGAAAAGCAAGCTGCTTTAATTTGCTCCAACGCCACCCTCAGGCCATTAGCCCTTTTAAAAACTTTATCAGACTCATCCAGTCTTTCTGGCCCCAGGGCCTTTGCGCATACAACCAGGAACACTACTATCACCTGCTACTCAGCTCTTGGTCCAGCTGTCTTCTCCTCAGGGAAACTTTCCCCTGTCACCCCCTGAGTGTAAATTATCCTGTAACAAGCTCTCAAATTAGTGGTGCTTCTTTGCAGTAAATGTCACAATGGTATTTTATAGTTATTCTTCTCCTCAATCAGTGCCTGTCTCCCCTGTGAGGACGCAGGCCCCATGTTAATGAGGACTGTGCCTGGCGTTGCTGGGCTCTGCTAAGTGCCACATAACAGGTGCTTGGTGATTATTGACTGCATGAGCAGTAGGTGGTCAGGTTCTACGAAAGCCATGAGGCCCTGGCGAGGTGGGGAGGAGAGGGCCCTTAGGCGCACACAAGCACTGCTCTCCGCTACCCAGAGCCAAGTCTGCACATGAATATGACCCTACCCACGAGACGTCCAAGGGGATGCATCCGAGGGCTCAGCCTTCATCACAGGCTTTGGGGTGGACCTCATCTCTCTTGGGGGATCTAGAATCAGCCCATAATACCCCGCCTCCTGGAATAGCCATCTCCAGACTTCAAACCAGAACTTTCCTGCCTCCGCTTAATACTTCCTGCTCAGCTCCAACCCGATAAAATATCTCCGGGGAGCTAATCCGAGAGCTCATCAGCTGCCACCAAACCCTTGAAGACCTTTCTGCAACCGTTGGCTAAATAGGCGTGTCTGGTGCCATGTTCCTGAAATGTGTGCGGAGGGTGGCTTATTCCCCCTAGACTGTACCCACTCCAGGACCTTGTTTTCCTCTTCACTCTACAAATAAATGCCTCTCATGCTGCTAGACACCTCCCTGCGCCTTTGTCCCCAAATCCACATGAGCCCCGAGCCCGGCACTCCGACCTCCGTGTGTACGTACACCCACGATCAGAACTGCATCGAGCAGGCCTCATGCACACAACACATGCCGGTGTGCCCCATTCTGTGCGTTCCGTGTTACTCTCTCCAGCACGGTCACGACCAGATTTTTAAAGCCCATTGTCTGCACACCCAAAGTGGACCACAAAGTGGGGATGCGCCCCGCGTGCGGAAGGGCAGCGAGCTGCGCCTGGATGGCTGCGCGTTTTCCCGAGTGCGCACCACTCTTCAGCGCGAAGGCCCCGGGTCGCCGCGGTAAGGCAGAGTTTGCAGTCCGCGCGAGAGGAGACGGCTAAGCTCACCCCGAGCAGCGGCATCTGGATGGGACCTAACCAAAGCAAAGCTGCGTATCCCGGCTCCCGCCGCCCCGAGGACCACCTGCATCGCCACCTGCTGACGGAGGGGAGGTCGAGGCCCAGACCGTGTAGGGTTCACTCCTCCCCGGGGAGGCCTCGCACCGAGGAGGAGCTGTGGCGGGGAACGGGGAGGTGTCGCACGCGCTGGGCCCTCACCCCGTCAGCACGTGGGACTGGGACCCCACCCCGGTCACTGCAAAGCAGGCAGGTGTGAAGGAGGAAGCGATGCCGAGGCGGGGCCTTCCTAGCAAACGGAGGGAGCGGGAGAAGCAGGCAGGAGAGACTGCCACAGTGGCAGGTGGCCTGCGGGTCAGGGGCACGGCAGGGCCCTTCCTGGAGCGGAGCTGAAGCAGCAGGAATAGGTGGATGGAGGAGGTCACCCCAGAGGGGGCGCCATAGCAAGGCACCGGAAGAGGCACTTCCCACGGGCTCTTCGGTGCCCTTCCTTTGGGAGCAGAGGATGCGCAGAGCAGGCTGCCCAGCCCCGCCCCTACCTGTCAGCACAGCCAGGATGACCAGCATGGCCAGGACGCCGTTCTCGCTGCCCTCCATCTCTGCATGATCCTCCTCACCCTGGAATACAAAGCAGGCAGGTGACCCCCTGCACCCCTGCGCTCTCTCCGCACTCAGACATGCTGGACCCAGCTGGCTCCCGGGTGGTGAGAAGAGCGGCCCGTGCAGCAGGGGCGAGGGAGCACTCCCTGCAGCCCCGCCGAGACCCGCTGCAGGCCTGGGCATGAGAGTCCTTGAACCGAATGATCCGAAGGACACAGAGGGGGCAACACAGCCTGACCTCCCAGTTGCTGACCAAAAGGGGAGCCCGGGCTCTCTGCTCTTCCTTCCAATCACTGAGAAAAACATGCTGCCCCTGATAAGCTCATGTCTCCTAAGAAGAAGATGGAGCAAAATGGAGAGCCTGACAGAAGGAGGAAGAGATGAGGCGGAAACAACGGAGGGGGTGTGTGCATGGGCTGGTGTCACTTGAGGCACGTGGCTGGGAAAGGCCCCTAGAGGGTGAATGAGGTGACAGTCACATGCACATCTACTGGAAAAGCTTCCTATGCAGAGGGCAGAGTAGGTGCAAAGGCCCTGGGGTAGGACTGTGGCTGGCACGATTGAGGAAACACGGAGAGGAATCTGGCAGAGGAGGGGTGGGCGGAAGGGCTGGAGTGAGAGGTTGGGGTGGGCCTGGCCCAGGGTTAGAGCACTCAAGGTTTCTGCAGTGCATACTTCTTGGCCCTCCTCCCAGGCCCCTTTTGTCTTTGGTAACCCTCCTGCTCACCCTCCACCTCTGCAGCTTCTCTTTCTGCTTTTCCCCTCACCCACATGCTCACCAGGCTGGGGTCCCCCGGGCACTTTGGGGGGGCCGCCTGTGCGCTGACTGCCCTGTCTTGCCTGCAGCACAGAAGCCTGGGGTGCTTCCTCTCCAGCTGTGGCCCCCACAGATTCCAGCCCTGCTGCGTGAATCCACCCTGTCCTCCAGAACTGTCCTCCAAAACGGGAGGTTCCAGCTGGCGTCAGAGACCCCGTGGTGGGACTTTGTAATGGGTGGCCGCACCGGGCTCTGGCCTCCTTTCTTCTCCGACAGGCCCTGGAGGGATCACCCCACAGCTGGGCCCGGGAGAAGAACCGTAGATTTGGAGGAGGCACCGGAAACAGCCACCGAGCCTCAGTCTGTGCCCATCTGCAAGTCGCTGGGTAGAATCAGTGTCAGAGTGCGGAGGGCAGAGGGCCCGGCCTTGCACCTCACACTTCACTCCTAACTTGGAAGGACCGGATATTCCCCCGGCGGGTGCACTAAACTAGCACTAGGTCTCTAATCTAAAGACCAATGCCCCTGCGCTGCAGTTCTGTCCCATTGCCCCCTGTACGAATCAAACGCACCACAAGTCCCACAGCAGCCCACACAATCCAGGAGGAGCCAGGCCTTCCGAGACCGATCCGAGATTGATCCGCGAGCCAGAGTTACAAAGCGTTAGATAAATCATTTACTCATTTCAAGGCTCGATTAACAGAACTTGACAGGTTCACTGCTCTGCCAGCCCTGTGGAATGCGGGCTCCCAAGGCCGGGGGAGGGGCTCTGAGAGCAGGAGGAGCTGCAGCCGCTGAGAACCACATCAGGTCAGACTACAGACTAAGAACAGAGCATTTAAGGTGAAAACACTCTGCTTGGCAGATTTCTCTCCCGCGGATCTCCCTTCTCTTTGTCCAAATCACGTCTGTCCTCGAGTCTAGCAGGTAGGACCCCGGCAGGTAGTATAGGAGCTGGCTGCAGGAGTCAGAGGGAGGTCACTACAGGCAGGGCTTGTGGGGACAGTGTTTAGAGGGTGTGTGCGGCCGGGGCATTGTGATAAAGCCGGTTTTGGGTATAACTGAAGTCAGACACATTGCTGTAATTAAATGACGATTCATATCAGGGATGGTCAGTTAATATGCTGAGGGGCCGTGAGGGCCAGACCTGAAACCCAACTTCCGGTTCATTTCCTCATGGAAGGCTCTGAATGTCCTACTCTTAGGTGGAAAACTGCACTTAAACTCTTAAGTCTTATTAAGTTGTATTAAACAGGCAGGACCTAGACCCCCCACCCTATTTCTTACTGTCCTGACAAAACATAAACACCCAGAAAAGCTGAGAACTCCCAAGGGTGCATCTGATCTCAACCAACCCCCTATTTCCGGTTCTTGGGAATAGTTTGATATTGTTACTTCCAGAACTGTTGGAAAACGTCCTGTTTTAGTCAACAAGAAACCCGACCCCAAACCGAACAGGACAGAGGACAGGGCATTCCCAGGGCTGGGGGTGGTGGTGGGCTGGCTGCAGGGGTCAGTTCCGTCCAGGTCACAGCCAGGCCCCAAGTTTTCTAGCACAGGAGACTGTAGCCCCGCCGGCCCTACTTTCAGGCCCAGCTTCTCGGAAAGTCCCGAGACTCGAGATGATCCTGCTTCCCGTAGGGTCTTCTTGCGAGAGGGGGAAATGGCACTCACAGGCCACCCAAGGGTGACCTGACTGGAAGTGGGTTCCCAGCGTGGACTCCTGGGAGCAGCAGAGACCTGGTTTTACACATGCAAGTAGCAGCTTTCTGTGAGAGACATTCAATCCCTAGAATCATCTGAAATTTCCAAACTCACAACGCAAACTCTCATTTAATTTTCAACTCCGGGAGCTGAAAAGTAAGCACCATGTGCGTGTGCTGTCCTCCAGGAGCTTCACAGGGGACCCGGCGGATGGCCCCGGAGGAGACACCTGCCCCGCAGACAGTCATTCCTCACACACAGTGCAGTGCCCTTACCTCAGGCAGTAAACGTCCCCTGTAGGCCTTCAGAGAAGGTTTGCAGTTCCCAAAAGGCTCCTCAGCCTCCTCAGGCCGCTATCCTGTCTCCACACAAATACAGGAACGGACTCAGTCTGGCCACCCGAGAATCCTGATCACTCCTCACCAAGTGACAGGAAGTTCCTCCCAAGGGCTGTGTCGCTTCTCAGGCACGGCTAGAAACACAGAGGTACGGGAAGGTGTGAGAGTCCCAGGCAGCAGGCACATTCCCATTAATCATTAGCCAGCCCTCCACAACTGCCAACTCGGAAGTCAGGCCCAGAGGCCTCAGGGCCTCCCTCCTCCCCTCCTCCAGCCTTGCTCAGGCCCCCTGGGGCAGGTGGAGCCCACTCCCAGGCCTGGGTCCTGCTTCAGCTGTTCTTTTCCACCACCTGGAGGCTGACAGCCCCTTCCGGTCAGAAACGCCAGCTGGCCACCCGCTTTGCTGCTCTGGCCTCAGGTAGAGGCCAATGGGCTGGTGAAACCGGTTCCTTCTCCCGAGCAGGCACCTTAACATCCACAAGAACAGGTCCTTTTGAGAAAGAAAAAACTCATTAGCGTGGCCTGCTCTGGAAGGTGGCAGCAATTTAAGAGTGAAGCAGTTTCCTGTGGAACATTTGCCTACGAACTAGGCATAGACAGCGGCCTCCACTCCTCACCCCTCTCCACAGAGGTGCCCAACAGAACCTGGCTTTTTAGGGCTCTGTGACAGTTCCTGGAGCCACTGTCTCCCAAACCCTCATGCTTTTCTAACTGTCCTTTCAGGTTTATCTCTCATTAATCAGAGGACTCAGAATCCGGGGCGTCTGTGCACGCCAGGCACCCACAGAAGGGGTAAAGCATGTATTTAAAGTCAGACCCAAAGGCAAATAGATGGGGGCGGGCGCTGTTCCTTCCAGCTGGAGAGGAACGGAAGATGCCAGCCTCAAAGGATGCGACTTCAATTTAGAGCATCTTATAAATGGAAGGTGTTTGAGAGTCAACAGACTCAAGAGAAAGAAAGGTAGAGGGAGGAGTAGAGGGTGGAGAGACAGAGAGAAATGGAGACAGAATGAAAAAGACGAATAAAGCCTCCTCAGAACCCTTCTCTGACTACCAGAGCCATCTGAGAAGTAGGCGCCATGGATTCCCCCTAGGGAAGATCTACTGCCCCAGTAGAATGGGAATAAACCAACTATAAATCCTTTCCCAAGAGAGTACTGTGTTAGGATCTTGAAAGGCACTGACCATTCATACATGGATAGGAAAAGACTATCACACTTGCCTTTCTCCCATCTGTGCTTTCAGAAACCTGCTTGTCTCTCCTAAAGAAACTTATTTGTTCTCCCGTAAGAAGTCTTCTCTCCCCGTTTCCTTCTCCCTACTGAGTGAAGCATATAAGCTTTCACTCTCAGCATGCCAGGAGCCAGCTACTGCCTTCACTGGCTCCCACCTGCAGAGGACATAAACCTTGTTCTCTTGTTAATCTGTCTCTTGTCAGGTTAATTTGAAGGGCCCAGGGAAATATAAGAAGGTAGTGGAAAAATGACTTGTTTCTTCTCCTACACAATAACTGGACATTCAATTTTATCTGTGTCCTGTTTAGCCATCCAAAGCAACTTCGTTGGAACTGCTTCTGCAGCTGTGCTTCACAGTTCAGTGAACCCTGAAACTTTTTATTCCCAGCCTCATGGGCTATGTTTCCCATGTTGCAGCCCTAGGATGGAGCCCTTGAGCGGCAATTAGTTCACCAGGATGAGGCCCGCATACTGGGATCAATGCTTTCATAAGAACAGGAAATCGGGGGCAGCTCTGCACATGCTTGTATAACAGAAAGGCCAGGTGGAAACACAGTGAGAAGACAGCCATCTGTGAGCCAGGAAGGCGGCCCTCACCGGACAGGGGACCTCCTGGTACCTTGATCTTAGACTCTTGGCTTCCACACTAGGGAGAAATGTGTCTGATACTTCAGCCACTCTGTTTGTGATGTTCTGTTTCAGCAGTGTGGGCTGTTTAGGACACTAATCTTACCTCTTCCAGGGCAATGACCACATGAGACATTTGTATTTTGATTGGTATAATCACTAGCTCTAGATTATAAATATCTTACACGTCAGTGTTTTAGTGTTAAGATAAAAGCCTTGTTTAACAAGAATTTCTTTTGCCCAAGATCTTTATCCATACTGAATTTCTCTGTTCTTCACTTCAACCAGTTTCATTCCTGAGTTGTCTCATTCTGAGACATCAGTACTAGGTTAGCTTTCTGTCACTCTGACAAAACACCTGAGGCAAGAGCTTAAAGGAGGAAAGGTTGATTCTGGTTCACGGTTTCAGAAGTTTCCACTCAGGGTCAGCTGGCTGCGTTGTTTCTGGGCCTGTGAGGCAGAGGTGCAGCAGAGGAAAACCGCTTACCTCACAGGGGACAGGAAGGACACAGACAGCAAGAGAGGCAGGAGCAAGGGCATTGTCCTACTTCTTCTGATTGGGCTGCGTATTTTAGATCTGAACCACAACAAGCACCTAACTGGGAATGCCACACACCTAGAAGATATTACTCTAGCTGTTATGGTTCGGGCCTTGGTGTCCCCCCTAAAACCTCATGCAGTCATTGGGAGTGCTTTTCAGAGTTTGTGATTGATTCATTCTCTAGTGTTGACATTATGGGTGTAAGTCCTACACCTGCCTTGGGGAGGGTAGCCTACATACAATATAAGGAACAGAAAAAGCCTTCTCTCATGCTCCTCCCTTTTTGCTCTCATTGCCTTTGCTGTCTTCTGCCACCACGAACTGTTGCCCCTCTGCCACACCACCCTGCCTTGGAGCCAGCTGAGTATGGACTGAAACCTCCACAAACTGTGAGCTAAATAAACCTCCTCCCTTAATTTTGGGCATCAGGTACTTTGTCTCAGCAACAAGAGGAAAGTAACTAAGACACTAGCTTAGCCTAATCAGCGACAGAAGATAACTGATGACCGCTTGAAACATGAACCAAGAGCGTAAGTTATAGTGATAAACTAAACATTCTGGTCCTATTAATCTAAAATTAAACAACCACCCCTTAGGTTCACTCAAAGAGCTCTAGAGTTTTAGACTGACGGTTTCAGTCTTTCATCTGGTACTGTGGTTTGCTTGTGTAAGTGATGCATTTCCATAATCTTTATTAATTTGCAGGTAACTTTCCTCATTCTCCAGCAGTCGATTCAATAAACAGTTCCACTAAGTCAGTGTCTCAGACAGCATGCCTGCATCTGGTTGCACTGTCAAGGCCACTTCTGAGTTCTCAACACCCATGGGCCACATGGCCAGTTTTCATTGTGTAACCCACTGGTTTCCTGCACTAAGTAGTGAGAGAACGTTCACTATTTTCCAGGCAGTTCTAGGCATGGGAGACGGTGTGTGATTGATCATATGTGGCACCTGTCCCGTGGCACTCACGTCCTGGTGGAGAAATGCTTGGGAATGTCACCGATGGGAGATTCAGGTCTTACGAGTAGCCTGCATTTCCCAAGCCACATTTGTCAGACAAGGGATTAAGACAGGGCAACAGGGTGAGAGGCATGCTCAGCACAGTGACTCCATCATCACAGCCCACAGGACCAATCAGAAAAGTGCCATTTTCAGTGCTTCATTTGAATCCGGTGCTGTTCACAGGACCAGTCAGAAGATGTTCTTTCCAATCCTTCATTTGCACCATGAACTGTTGAGCACAGCCAATCAAAAGACACTGTGTCTGATCCTTCATTTACATATGGAAGGAAGGCAAGAGAATTTTTTGACAGTTTACACAGGGTGTGAGGCCAAATGACTGGTAGGATGACGGCCCAATGTCTTATTTGCACGAGAGGGCAATAACCCAGGAATTTTGGGTATAGAATACCCCTGTCCCTTATCGTCGGGGGCCATGATATGTCTGTTCTCCAGCCCGCTTGCTGTTACCCTGCAGAACTCACTTCTTTCTCACCTTCAATAAAGGCGCCCTCACTGCCTTTTCTGTGTGTCCTTTCTAATTTGCTCAGGATACCCACAACCTAGAAAGAATGCCATAGGATTCCCCACCCAGCAGCAGAGTGAGGACTGGATGGATGGGGTGCAGGGTGGATGAGGTGTGTTAGCAATCATCACAATGGCAGTAAAGATGATGTCAGTTAATAATAATAACAGTAATAATAATAATAATAATAATAATAATAAAAACAGAAGCCTCAAACACTTCCAAAACACTTACCACATGCTGAGACATCTTTGAAAAACTTCACGTTCCTTGCCCTATGGGAGTCTCATAGAACCCCAGGAGAATAACTGCACTGTATCCCCAGGCCAACAGGGGCAAGGGCATGGTGAGACTCAAGCCTTCTAAAGAGGCCTAGGAGTTGACTGATTATTTTTAGTAATAGTATTTAATGTTCACTCATTCATTCAAAAACCCTTTTGAGCTTTAGTGTGAAGGAGATCAGAATGTACCGCCCTAAATGTGCCAGTTGGCTATAAGATTATTTAGGGCTGAAGACAAGCGAGAGAAAACAGCTCCGGGAAAATTTGTTCTCTATCCCTCCCACTCACCTAAGAGCGGTGCCTCGCCTGCGTAGGTGGGACCTTCTTATACAACCTCCTTTTCCCTTCTTCCCACCCAAATATTTACTCTCACAGTTTACTGCCCTGAGAAGCCCTGGCCCTGCTTCATCTTGCTGCTTTACCACAACTTAATGTGGTAATTTGTAAAACTGGTATCAAAGCCCTTGAGCCTGGCCACTTGTTGGGCCTGAAGGCCTCCATGCACATAGAGATTAAAATGTTAACACCAAGTGAAATGTGTATTCCTCTTCTTCTGTGAATCTGATTTTTGTTGTTTTAATTCACAGGGCCCAGCTGCTGAGCCTACGAAGATAAACTTTTCCTCCCTTACTAGGCCCTGTGCTACCAACTGGTGAGGAAAAAATTGAATAAAACAGAGAGCTTTGGGGAGTCATTAAATTAGTCAGGAATCACAGAGATACACACAGAGTTGTTGCGCCTCAGTCCTGAGCTATGTCCCTGAAAACCCAGCATAATTCGAACCTCAGTTAAGTCCGGAACAATGCACTGTGGGAATGATAGGTCACCGAGGTGCGTTTGGGCCCTGATGACCTCGGCTCTCCTGCTGTGAGGATCAGTCGGCACCAGGAGTCCTGAGGTCTGTCCACTTGCTTTTCCTCACCACGATGTCCGGCACCAAAGAATATTGCCAGAGCTTTTAGAAAATTCTGTCATGGCGACAGTGAGCGTTATAGCCAATGATGCCTCTTTGCCAAACACAGCACACTCAGAAGTCCTGCGGCAGGTGTGGGGTCTCCCACATGGTGATCTGGGGTCGGACTGTTCTCCTTCACCAGTTCCTGAGAGGCTGCCGAGGCAGTACCCACAGG